TTACTGGGTGGTTACCGTGTGGCAGGCACCATGCTGAGTGCTTTACAGGCATTATCTCATTTAATCCTCACTCAAACCCTGGGAAGTGGGTTCTGAGACTCAGAGTGGTTATGTGACTAGTCCACAGTCACACATCCAGTAAGTGATAGGTCTGGGATATGAACGCAGAGAGCCTGTGCTCTTCCTCCTCCGGATAATACCGTGCTCGAGAAGAATACTGAGTTAGACTGGAAGAGGAAGGGAGCTTCGGGAAGGGCAGGTGGAGTGAGAAGTGGAAAGTACCAGCACTGGGACAAGAAGGGGGTCCCTCGAGAAGATGGGAACCTAGGGCAAAGTTTCCTCAATCTGGGCAGGCTGTTTAACCTCTTGCTTCTTGTTGGTCTGGCTGAGAAATGTTCTGGCACTTTCCCTCGCAGATCCTCCTGCATGAAACACCCCTCCCTGCTTGACCCTCCTCATCACCCAGGGAGAAGGCTGGGTGGGGTCTCTTTGCCAAGTAACTCACGTTAGGACACAAATTTCCCGGGCCAAAAAGTCAGGGCACTCTGGTGTGTCTCTGTGGTTTTGCAATGTGCTGGGAGGGTGCAGGGCAAGAGGGCAGTGAGAGAGGAAAACTGATGCATGGCGGGGGCGGTATGTGTGTGTCCAGGTGTTTTTATCCAATTAAATCCAACAAGGACCAAGTCCCCCTCCACATCCAGGCATGGGAGATGCAGAAGTCCCAGAACAAATACATGGCTAGTCCTCGCCCTTCCCCAGGGGGTCTGGACAGAAACATGTGGGACATTTTAGTTCTCGGCTGGCTGAGAAAATGAAAATCTCTATCCTCTACCTGAACCTCTGGGCTTCCAGAGCAATCCCAGGACCCTGGGGAAAGATGGGACTCAACCAGCCCGTGCCTGCAGTAACACCTGTGGCGGGGCAGTTTTCCTGTCCCTTTGGTGCCCTCTGCCTCTCTTTTTCCCCTCTCCCCTCCAGGGCCTCTGCATGGGCAGTGCAGGGGACGGGGGAGGCGGGAGATCAACATGAAATCCCCTCAGCTTGTGGGGCGGGAAAGCCTGGCCAACCTTTGTGTTTTACCAATCCGTCCTGGGGGCGCTGGGCTCCCCACCTGGGCCATCCACTTTGCATCTCCCAGGATGGAGACTGGGGTTTGCACCGAGCCACCCACACTGGCTGACCTGGTCTTTTATGTGACATGCATTTGCCAAACAATTATAGAGGCTTTGAAGGTCAGCCTGTGGCCAGGAAAGAGAGAGAAAGGCGTCTTCTCTCCCTTTTCTGCCTAGCCCAATCTCCCCCGCACCACCCTGCCCCCTTCAAGGTCTAGCTCAGAGCCGAGGCCCTCACAAAGCCTTCCCTCCCTCCTCCAACTGCTGCTGACCTCAGAGCCCCGGCCGCCTCTGGCCCCTGCTCCAAGGAGCACAATTAGCACCTGACCAGCTGCTGGCCTCGCCTCTGCTTGTATCAGTGTCTTAGTCATCTCTCCCACCCCACCCCCTTCACTCGTCTCCCCTACAGCACCTAGCACAGGTTGGGCACACAGTAGGTGTTAATAAATATCCTTTGAATTGAAACTCAGCAGCCCCTATGAGGTCAGAACCGTCATAAGCACCCCGACCAGCAGTTCCTTGGCAACCAGCGCTGGGGTCCGAGCTATAGGGCATTAGCGGTGCGGCTGCTATTACAGGCCACGCAAGACTCAGCGGCCAGAGATTTGCAGGCAGGTTGGTGTTGATGAGAAAAGCCCCTGACCCCTAGGAAAGCGCCCATGGGATTCTGGGTACCTCGGATGAGTTTCCTCTCTCCCCTGCAGAACTAGTTTTCAGTCTGAGAACCACAAAGGGAATAAATTGGCAGTGAATCCAGAAACCTCTTTGCAGCTTAGAAATCCTGGAGAGAGAAGCAAGCCTGCGTTGGGGTCAGGCCCAAGCTTGAGGGGAGAAGGCTGCCCAAGGCCCTTCCAAGCTTGGTGGGGGACCTCCGGGAGGTGCTGGGGGCATGGCAGGCAGAGGGGCTAGAAGGGAGTCTGGGGGTGGCCCTAAGTAACGCCGTCCTGTCCTGCAAACCAACAAATCACACCACTGAATGCTTGCCACCTGCAGCCCACACAGGAATTGGGTCTCCCCCTCCCTCTCATTCACCCAAATCCCAGGGCAGGCCTCTGTCCAGGGGTGGCGTCCTGACCAGAGCCCAGCCAGTGTCCCCAGACAAGGAGAAGCCTCCAAGTCTGAGGTACCTGGCTCCCCACACTGGCTTTGAATTAGGGATTCGAGCCCGGCTTCAAATTTTGGTTATTTATATAGGTGACCTAGCCACCCTCTCTGGCCCCCTCCCACACTCCCCACCCTGACTCTGGCCCATGCCAGAAGGTACACACAGTCCCGGAAGACAGGCGGTGTCTTCTTCACCTCTGTATTTCCCTCACTGCCCCTTCGCTGATGCCTAGTACTGGGACTGGTTCTCAGCAAATGTTCGCTGAGTTGAATCTGAGTTTTAGGCACCGTGTAAGACAATACCGTAAGGCTCGCTTGCGCTTACCATGTGCCGTGCACTGTTCTAATAAGGAGCTTATGTGTACCGATGTATTTCATCCTTAGCAAAACTTTAGGAGGTAGGTCTGATTTGACAAATGAGGAAACTGAGGCACACAATTGACTGGGATCACACAGTTAGTAAATAACAGAGCTGGGATATAAACCCAGACAGTCTGGCTCCAGGGATGGGAGGGAAAATGAAAAAGTTGAGGGGTGAGGGGTGAGGCTCGCAAGGACCAAGGCCAAACTTCGGTGCAGAGCTTTTCCTGGGAAAGCAACCCCCTCAGCCTGCGTCTGGCTGGGCCTCTCAGGGAGGCCCTGAATTTTGCAGGCTAGGGATATTTTGGACATCCTATTAATCAGGCCCCTGAATGACGGACCACAGCACCCTCGTTTTTAGATTCCCATATAGGACAGAGGAGACAGAAGCTGCTGTCCCACCACTTAGCTCAAGGCAGGGGGAGGGCTGCTTTCAGGCCTCCAGTTTGTCCAGGGGTGGGCGCCAGTTCCTGAGCAACCACCGAGCAAACAGTGCAGCAGTGGGAGGAATGCCAGACATAGTTGCAAACAAGCCACTCCTTCGGCTCACAGCTAGAGGCTGGGTGAGGGTGGCAACGTGGAGCCTGCTCAACGACCCCCACCCCTGCAACTCACACCTCCCAGGCTTTGAACCCAGAGACAGCCACTTGCAAGGCAGCCTCTTCCCCACACTGGCCAGGATAGGAAGTCCTCCAGGATAGTTAATTCCTCCACTTAACTCAAGATAGCTCCCCGTTATCTGTTACTGCTGTGGGTCTACTGAATTAATGGCTGAGAAAGTGCCTTATAATCGGTAAAACCCTACATAACTAACCGCGAGGAGGAATCTGCATTCTTGCCGTGCAAACGTGACCCTGAGCATTTTCAGTGCCAAAGTGTCCTGTCTCCCCAGAGGAGAGAGTTAGATCTGATCCCTTCACCTCCCCCCTCCAACCTGGCACTCAGGCCAGGGGTCAGCTCGCAGTGGGTGAGTCCCTGATGGGTGTGCCCACCAGCTGTTGGGGCCAAGCAGTGGTGGCTCTGGTCCTGGGGTGGTGACCTCACTTCCGCTCCTACCTCCCCAGCACTCCTCCCATATGAGGCCCCACCAGGCCAAAATCGAGAAGTTCAAGGTTAACTGATCCTCCCCACTTTAAGAGCTAATTAAAATGATTAGCCACAATGAACCGCCAAACATTAACCATAAGAAGCTGCAGGACCAGACAGGCCTCTATCTCGGGCAGAAGGATGAGGGGCAGGAATCAAACGGCCATCAAATCCCATGGCTGGCGTGTGGGGGGTGGGCAGCCGGGGAGAACCTGGCCGAGGCGCGGAGCCAATGGGGTCAGGAGGTGACTCTGGTCAGGAAGGCCGTGTAGTGAGGGAAGGGCGGCAGACTTCGGGTGCGACGGAGGGACCGGGAATCCATAAAGTCGCCGCCTCAGCAGTCTCCAAAAGCAAGGCGCTGTCGGCAGGGGACCCCGCGCTGCGCGGCTGCTGAGTCCCCGTGCCGGCAGCAGAGGAGGGAACAGAGAGGCGGGAGAGCCCGGGAGAGCGGGAACACGGGAGCGGGAAGGCTGGCGGCCGGCTCACACGGAAACTCCGGCCGCTGACGAGAGAGGTCTCTATTTTGGCGACCCAGTTATCCAAGTCATAGGTTCATAGGTGTGTGTGTGCGCGCGCGCGCGCGTGTGCGTGTGTGTGTGTGTGTGTGTGTGTGTGGAGAGAGGGAGAGAAAGAGAGAGTGTGTGTGTGTGTTACCCTAAGGCGCCTGGTCCCAGAAGCCCTAGAGGCCGCCAGATCAATCTAGCAGCCCCGCCAGTGAGGCCCAACCTCCTGCCCTCGGGCACCGAGCTTTTGGGGCGGGCTGTCACGATAGGCCCAGTCACGGACCCCGGGCTGCCTGGGGAGAGGGCAAACCGGCCCCCACCCCGACTCGGGAAATCGACTCAGCTTCTAACCCAGGATCCGTGGTCCGGGTTCCACAACGCACACGCGGTGGGGCGAGGCAAGGGCGGGACTCAACACGCCGCCGCTCTCCCACCCTTCCCTGGGCCCCAAGCCCCTACGCTCCGGGGCCCAGGCGTCCCCTATCCCGCCCTCAGGCAAACTTTCTGAGGTCCCCGAAGGCTCAGAAAACCGGCGCCATCGACGTACCTGCCGCCGAAGGGGCTCGGTAGCGGGGCCGGGATCGATCGCCGCGGTCCCCTCCCCGCTCTGAGGGCCGAGACGCGGGTCCCCAGCCCGGCCAGCCCGCTTTCTCCCCTCGGAAGCCGGGCTGGGCGAGTGGCGCCGATACCTCGGCGCCGGCGAAAGGAGAAGTGGAAGTTGAGCGCGGCGCCCGGTCGGTCCCCGCGCCCGCCGGGGCCACCGTCCCCCTCCCTCCCTCCCTCCCTCCTCTCCTCCCTGCCCGCCTGCCCCCGCGGCCCCGCGCCCGTGACTCACCTCGGCGCCGGGGCAGGCTGGTCCGGGCGGGCGAGGCGCAGGGCTCTCCCACACGTCGCGCCGCCAATGGCAAGTTGGAGGGCGAGATGCAAATACCAGGTGAGACGGCGGCGCCCCTGATAAAACGACTCCGGGGGGTGGGGTGGAGTGCGGGGGGAGCCGGGGGGACGCCGGGGAGGGTCAGGCCGAGGGAGGGGGCGGCGGGGGCGCCCGGGGAGGGGGCGCGAGCCAGCGGAGACCTGCAATCAGACAACCGAGCGAAAGGGGAAATTGCACTAGAGACACACACGTCCCCGCAGGCGGCGGCTGGGGCGGGCGCGAAGGAGGCAGGGCGGGAGGGAGGGAAGAGCCGGAGGGAGGGACCGACGGGAGGGACCACGGGCGGGCGGGCGGGCGGGGGGGGGAGGGCGCGAGGGAGGGACGAGGCGTCTTGGTGGAAACAGCGCCCCTCCACCCCCGGCCCGCCGCGGTCGCCAGCACGGCAGGGGGAGCCGTGCCAGGGGCCCGCGCGGCCTCTCCTTCCCCTCCCGGCTCGCTCGCCCCCGGGGAACCGCGAGAGCAGGACTCCCGCGGAGCCCACTTCGCGCTCCCAGCGCCCCACCCCCCCACCTGGCGCGTTCCGGGGCCCGCAGCTCCGTCCGGGAAGCCCCTACACAATGCCTCGTAGAGAAAGCCGCTCCATTCCCGGGGGACTCTGGATGGCTATGTCCGGCCCCCTTGGCCTGCGCGCTCCACTCGCTTGACGCCTTTGGCCCCAGCCCTGCGCTCCAGATTATTACTGAACGCCTGCTGTGTGGAGGACCTGGCGTGAGGGCGGGCCGAGCGGGTGGGTGAGGCCAGGAGATGCCCAGAGGATACAATTCGGGAACGATATGCCAGATGCCGCGGAATCCCTGGCCAAATGCTCGTGCACTTGGCGCGACTGGAGAGTTTTGGGGATTTCTTAGGGAAGTCGAGCTTAGGGCTCCGGGTGGGGGAGGCCAGGAGGATATGAATCCGGAGAAGGATTGGGGGGAGAGGGGCTGGTGCAGCAGGTGCAAGGGTAGCCAGAGTTGGGGTGCTGGGAAAAAGCTCATGCCCCTTTCTGTCCAGAGCCAGGCTGCTCTGCTTGAGGCATCTACTTGAACCCCAGTCTCCCATTCTGCCTCCCCCTTACCCTCTACTTTGACCTGCCCCAGCATCCTACCAGCCCGCACCCTCCTCCGTCCCACAGCTAGGAGGCTCTAGGAGGGAGTTGGCTGGGAATTCTCACTTCTTATGGCTCTGTATGGTCTGGAGGAGGGGCCTAGCCAGGCCTCAGCCCGGCATCTACCACCCGGGCAGAAAGCAGCAAAGCGGAAAGGGCCCCATGGGAGGAGGGCTCTCTGGGGGGTGGGGGTGGACCAAGGTCCTGAGGTTCAGGGACCTGCTCAGCCACCAGCATCTGTCTGCTTCCCCAGCCTTGGGAAAGGAGAGTCCCTGGCACAGGACTGGGGAGCAGAAGTGGTGGTGGATGATGGTGGTGAAGGTAGCTGCAGATTACAGGTTTCCGGGGGAAGACCTAGGGGCTGGACTGGGGCACGGGGGCACCTTGAGACCTCTTGGCCACCTAAAGTTAAGTCCCTGAAATAAGTGCCGAGAGCAAATTTCCAGTTTTTTTCTCTTGTAAATGGGCACACTTTCCCCAGGGGATTCTGGATCAGGAGACACAACAATTTTCTGTTGTTCTCTTGCCAGGGAGGCTCCCCTCTCAAAATTGTGGTAGGTTCCAGTCATCCCTAAGCCCCCTTTACTTGACCTTCACACACACACACACAAACTCACACACACACACACACACACACACACACACACACACTTTCCCATTTTGCTGAGAGTTCAGTGGTCTCTAACATCAGACAGACCTGGGTTCCTATTCCAGCTGCACCATTTAGCGGCTGTGTGTCTTTGGGCAAGTCGCTTAAACTCTCGGAGCCTCACTATCCTTATTTTTAAATTGAGGATAATAAGAATCTGCCTCCCAAGGCTGTGGTGAGGCTTGCATGAGATAGCCTGTGTCTGTGGCAGTGCCTGGTGCTTAGTAAGCCCTCAATAAACGTTAGCCTTCTTCAGCACCATCTCTGTCTCATCTCGTTTTCCCTCAACCCAGCTATCAGGAGAAAGTCTGCCAGGGCCGGAAGCTGCTGAGGACGAATGGTGGATGCCTCCTATGAATGTTTGTGGTTTAAACCAAGGTTGAAGCCTCAAGGCATGGAAGTGCCAGAGGAGAGGCCTTCCTCTTGGGACGGGCAGGGAGAGAGGACAGCACCGGGCCCACCAGCTTACGGTGACAGGCCCTGTTGCCTGCCAGTGACCTGGAGCCCACGGCTTGTGGGAATCCCATAAGTTCCCACCTTCCGCAGCCACTCGGAACTAACCGCAGCCCCATGATCTGGGAGTTGCAGCCAAAGCAAACCCCACCCCCTCGATGAAAACCTGGTGTTGCCCTCGCCTTAGGGAGCCATAGGCCACCTGAATGACCTTCCTGACTCCACGGCTCCAGGTCAGCCGGGCTGCCCTTCCCGATGACCTTGCTGCTGCCCAGCCCTTCCCCACCTGGCTCCCCGCTCTTCCACTTACCCGTTGGGTGAGCCCCAGCCAGGTGGGGCCAGCCGGCTGAGATCACCACTCCTGACGACAGGCATGATGTCTCTGCCAATGGCTCATTCCCTGACTTGGCAGGAATTCCCCTTCTCGAGTTGCTCGTGAATGCCCAGGCTGCGCCATCCAGCTCTCAGCCTCTCTCCTTCCAGCCCTGTTTCCCCCCCACACTCTCCAACCCCAACTCTGTCCTCTCGGGCCTCAGAACTGGGGTCCTCCTGGAAGAGGAGGGGCCTCCTGGCTGCCCAGAGCCTGTGTAGGGCCACCTCCCCACTTCTGCACTCAACTTGCCTTTCCACCTTGGCCACTTTCTCAGCTCCTCTTTGTCCCCTCTTTGCAGCAGTGCCTGCTAGCCTATGTTCTCCTGCAAATTACCCCAGGTTCTCTGGAAACAAGGTGGCTGGTTGCTTCCTCCCTCCCTTAACCCCTGAGCCTCAACAAATTCTATTCAAACCTGTGGCCAGAACAAAATACCACAGTGCCACAGCCTCTGTGGCCATGGCCCTTACTTTCCACCACAGACACATGCTAGAAAAGTCGCCTATCAATCAGACTTTCAGAATGAGAAGCATATTCAAAAGTCAGGAGAGAAGTTATGGTTTAAAAGGAATCCTCCCACCTGTAAAGCTGAGATGTCCCCTCTAATCCTTTCCCTACAGCCCGCAATCAATTCCTCTGTTGATATGTTCAACAACTCCAGATTTGCCTCTATTGGGTTGACATGACGAGACCCTAGATAGATGCAAATGACGGACGGAAACCTCTCAGTCCCAGGCTGTGGCTGGGCATCATAAGGAGTTTTTGTTCTGAAAAGATTGTTGAGTAGCTGCAAGATAGAAGAATTCCTTGGGATAGGTTATACCAGTGTGCTCCTTCCCGGGAGACGAGCAGATCTACTGTCTGGCACATACTGGGGGGTGACGGAGGTGGGGTGCCCAGGCCAAAGCACAGGCATGCTGGTGGGAGAATGTAGTTGGGAGCAACTTCCCAGATTATGACTTTCATCTGGCCAGCCACCTTCCTTGGCTGGGGCTCTTGGAAAGCCGCTTGGTCCCCACCCCTCACCCACCCCTGCTTTCATTCAAATGGAGAGCTTTACATTTCTCCTCCAGGCCTTTACTGGGACACGACCTGGCATCCTCAGAGCCCCTACAAAATTTCAGAGGAGCGCTGGGTTTCACTTTTTGGAGGGGCCAGACAGCAGCTCAGGGGCCTGCCTGGAGGGAGATGCCAGCCAGATATAGAAGGTGCCACGGGCCCTGAGTGAGTGCCCTGCGTGTCCACCCTGGGCTGCCAGGGGAGCCGGCCTAATACTGTATTTGGGAAACAGATTCAGTGCCTCTGGGTTGGCGGGGGATTTGGAGGGTGGGTGTAGGAGGAGGGACCCAATCCTGTGGTTCATTTGCAAAAAATAAGGAAGAATTGGCTCAGGCAGAGTTCAGTAAATGAGGGCAAGCCCTCTGGAGGCTCTAATCCCACTGGTCCCTAGCCCCGATCTTGGGGCCTAGGCTCAGCCTGGAAAAGTCCCTTGGAGAAGAGCCGAGAGCAGGCGCCTGCTCTGGGGCACCTATCAGACGCAGCACAGCATCCAGAGTTTTTGGGCCACTGTCCAGTGGAACTAGAGTTAACCCCTCAACCCCCGACGTCTGCTGGCCCAGCACCCATCTGGTGTGGTGGGCAGCCTCGCTGTGCCCCTCAGCCCTGCGGGGATTCCAAATGACACTCCAGAGGTGCCTCCCCTCAAGGCTGCAGGAAACACGAGTGTGCTGGGCTACAGGGACACAAGTAGCCACTGAGCTGGCCGGTACCTCCTCAGATGGAGAAGAGGCTCAGGAGAGAGAAGGGGGCTCCAGTCACGTTGTATGGGGTGCTCGTGTTCTATACGGCGAATGGCGCCTCCTGGAGTTGTGCGGGAGAGGGCAGTAAGGACAAACCCAGGAGAGCTGGGGAAGGGCGCTTGAATGGATGGAGAGAAGACGAAGGGCTCATTTTGGAACACCAAGTGGGGGCACTGGGCCTGACTGCAGGTCCTCGGGACTGGGGATGCGGTGGGATAATGGGGAGGGGCTGTGAGGGAGACTTGGCTCCCGACTTCACCCACTTCACATCCTGCCAAGGGGCGGTTCCAGGCTGAGCTTTGTACCGGGAGGTAAAGGACTCTGCCCTTTCAGGATTGCCCCATCCCACAGGGAGGCAAGGACAAGCCTGAGGCGGGCGCTAGACAGAGGCCCGTGAGGCAGCACACCTCACTTCCCCTACCGTGCCCCCATGACGGGGGGGGGGGAGGGTGGTTGTTGTTGTTGTTGTTGTTGTTGAATCCAGAAAAATGCAACATTTAATGTCTATAAAGGTGCAGTATGAGTCATTTCACGGAATGTCTAGGCCCCTTCGCTGGCAGCAAACAAACTTTCCAGCCCTCTTTTGAGGAAGCCATCCAACTGGGCTGCCGCTGCTGGTGTGTGTGTGACAGTGTGTGAGTGTGTGTGTGGGTCTGTGTGTGGGATGGGTCTCTGGAGGGCCTAGCCTGCCTATGTGTGACTCCGTGTGTGTCCCTCAGATGTGAGCGAGGGTGTAACCGTGGCCAGCGTGTGCATACACGCACACACATACACACACACACACACACACACACACACGGGCTCGACTCTTGGA